GAGCAGGAGGGGCCGGGGGAGCTGAGGGAGCTGAGGGAGCTGAGGGAGTTGAGGGAGTTGAGGGAGCTGAGGGAGCTGAGGGAACTGAAGGAGCTGAGGGAGCTGAGGGAGCTGAGGGTGCTGAGGGAGCTGAGGGTGCTGAGGGTGCTGGCGGTCCTGATGGCGCTGAAGCAGAGGTTGAGCCCAAAGGTGATCTGCGGATGAGAGCAAGATCAGGTGAGAACGCGACAGGAACTCTGTTGTGTAATCACTCCTCCAGCTGGCTCAACCACTCCTCTAGTCAGCTTTTCCCTCGCTTTACCAAAAAACCTGGACAGGGAAGTGTCCTGGTTACTCATCACCGACCGGTAATCTATTTCAAGTGTGTGTACCGTGTCCTAAAATTTCTTTTTGCCTGTGAATTATGGAAGTGGACTTCGAGCTTCTACCGATGCTTTTTTTTCCTGCTATGACCTATAAACGTTCTGACTCCCATGATTCAAGGAAAGAGGCTGTAGTGTCCCTCTTCATTGTGGCAACGATGACGCCACATTCAATAAGTTTTAACAAATGACTTTCTGGTGATTCTGAATTTCTAGGCACCTAGTTTCTATTTTAATTATGTTTACGTTCTATTTCTTGGAAACTTCCAAGGTTAAAGCTTTCAAGTCCAAACTCCTCACCATCATAGCCTTAACAAAACCCCTTGGAACCAAAGAACTTCCCTATAAGTGACCACTCTGTCCACACAGCCCATCTCCACCAGAGAGGCTGAGATTTTTCTCACCTATATGTCTGGTTGATTCCAGGTTTCCCACTGGAAACATTTTCACTGAGTGCAGGGGACGCGGGGGAGGAGTGACCAGAGCCCACAGATCCTGGCCGGAAAGACGTGCTCTTTTTGGCCACCTGCTTCCGTGACTGAGCAAGCTGGCTTTCTAAGCTTCTGGGAGATTAAAGAAGAAATCACATGGTAAAGGATGCAGAGAGCATAAACTATGAAAGAAACTGACAAAAAAAGAAGGAACAGCACTCACTCAATGTCACCTGCCTGGGGGGACAGAGGTGGAGCAGGTGGGGTGGGTGGACCGGGTGGGGCGGGTGGGGCTGCAGGCTGTGGGAGCTCCATTGGCTTAAACTGGGTTCCAGTGCTGGTCAGATCCTGGGTATACTGGACCACAGGGCCTTTGCTCCTCACAGCACCTATGGGAAAAAGGAAACTGACCATTGAGAAGATGACAGCTGTGTCACCTATACTCAAGCACACACCTGATCCTCAATTTACGTAATGCAAAAAAGCATAAATACAAACATTCTGATGAAGTGCTAAGACCGTAGGTTCCCAATATTTACACACCAATGAGTGGGAATACTGGCACAGGCTGACTTTGACTTAAATAAGGCTTTATCTTCCTGCCTCAGATGATTTATGTTAGTAACAATGTTTCGGTGAAAATTTTCAAAAATACATTCTTTGATCAACTAGTGTAGTCGGGAGAAATCAACCAGAAAGTATGCCAGGAACATTAGAAAACAAAAACAGTTTGGGCTTTGAAAAAGCTGACCACAGATAACGAACAGCGGATAACCTGCGTGGGAGTACCAGAGATCACTACTCCCACCAACGCCCCTAACCCCTAACCCAAGCCAGTCAGTCCAGACGTTTAAGCGGTTGCTTAGAACGAATGACAGCCACAGCATGTGGAGGCAGCACCTCAAACCTATCACCACTACTGGAAAACTCAGGGCACACGTCCTGTTTCCACTGAACCAGTGTCATCCTGGTAAACAAAGGACAGCCGTTGTATACGGTCTCCTTTGCTGGCCGGTCCACTTCCCCCGTCCCCAGGATCTTTTGGGCCACATACCCATGTTCGGACGTGTCCTGAGCTGTCCTCCGTGCTTCTTCTCCAGCGCGGAGGCCGAGGACGTCTTCATGCTGAACATGGGCTCCAGCCGCGTGGAGCCTCGGTAGATCCATTCACACCTTTTGTCGTCCTGGCAGGTTGGGAGGAAGGAAGGGCGGGGGAAATGTGTTAATGACTAAGGCACCCCTGCAATTTGTGCAGAATACACACCATGTGCCTCCTCAGAAAAAACTCCTCGAGGAGCCCTCAATAAACTGTGCCGGGCTCCGCGACAGGCATCAGAAATACAAGTCAGAAAAACATGTATTCCTTAAGAAATGTCAGGAGTGCTACATGTTTTTACTGAGAACCATGACCAGGATAATAAGGCCTTAGAAACAAAAAACTAGGATACCTCAGGGAAAAAATATAATTCTAAGTAAGGCGTGGAAAGGGAGAAAAGGATGGGTACATAAGATCTACGGGTTAAACTGGGCCTTGAAAGATCAGTAAGCCCAATTCCTTGATCCCTACTTCCTTGTCCCACTACGCTACCAAATCTCCAACCATGGACGAATGGACTGGATGCTTTCTCCGTCCCCACGTGCAATGTGAATACTTGTAGAGAAAACAACCCAAACCGCCACCGTGCAGATTAGTACTGTAATTAAACTCAGGGAGTTTATTTTCAACCGCCACCCACAGAGGAACAAAAAGGACAAAGTAAAACTTGACCCCAAACAGTGAGAACGGAAAGGAGAATAAGAAAGAGGAAAACTGTCAAGTTTTACAAAACCATCCTTATTGTCTCTTACGCTCCCCCACCCCTCCCGGACCCCTGCCCCCAAAACCCTAGGGAAGGGCCGTACCAGGAAGAGGATCCTGACCAAGCTGCCGTCCACCTCCTCAACCCGGGACTTCCACCACGTGCCTTCCCACTCGGTCTTGATGAGCTGGCCGCTCTTGAGCAGCACCATAGGGCGGTTGGGATAAGCAGTGATGTACTCCTCGATGAAATCTCGGCAGGAGATGTCTTCTATGTCCTCCCAAGTCTTTTTCACTGTCCCAAGGAAGAAGCGGGGTTGAGAGGGGGCAGGTAGGGCACCTCTTGATAGGAAAAATGGTTGGTTTGGCATTTTTTAAGTTGAGAGGGACGGAAAAATAAATGAAGAAATCATAACCTCGAGGGGAGCAAAACTAACATCACCTAAAGGTACTAAACCTAATGTGTAAACGCTCACGCAAATCAAGGAAATACTAAAAAAAGCAATACGCATATATACGGGAGTCCTCATTTCATAAAAAAGAGAATGTTTCTACTTAGGAAAATTCAAGTGGAAATTCTTGCTAAGTTGATGTACGTCTAGCAGTAAATCAAAAAAGATCAGGTGGCATCATGAAATTGATAAAAAAAAATTTGTCCTTCATTCTTTCTCTATCAGGCTTTTAAGGGTTCCTGGATGCATTCGCTGCCACGTTATGTGAAAACAACAGTGTTAGTTGACTCTCCAACAATTAAAAACTGTTGCTTCTGTAGGAATCTGTCCCCAAGCCAGTCGCGGCACAGAGAACATCACAAAGCCTTGATCTTACACAGCTGATGTAGAAAGCGCTATGGAGACCGCAGACTTACACGCACTCTAGGAAAGCAGTACCACCTTCTCATACTTGCCACTTAGAAATGAAATCGAAACACATCTACAGTATGGGTACCCACCCAATGTCAGTCATGACCTTCCAATGTTTCACTTGTTGGCCACAAAGACCCAGCATTAGAGATGAACAAATAAAACTGTATCTCCCAACGGTTTTATTCATCGAACTTACACTCTTTGAGACTGAAGCACCAAAAACGCTAGGGGTTTTCAACGGGTTGTCTTTAGAACTACAAGGCAGAGGAAGATGGACAGAACTAAGGAAGAAAGGAAGAACACTCACGTGGCCGGCAAATGGGATACAGTTCGGACTGTGTGACATAGGAAGCGTAGCCATCATCAAAGAAAATGAGAAACCTGTATGGAAACAGGGATGGTGGAAAGATCAGGGCGTTGCGTTAAACACGACCTACAGACGTTATCTGTCACAGGTTCCACTCCTCTGCAGCAAACAGGACACACGGCAGAGAGGAGTTCCAGTCAGTCAACTACCTTCTTCTCGTTACGCTTTCCTCCCTCCCCAAGCGTTAAGAATGTTCCCTGGATCTAACCAACACACCCCCACTTTTCCAAAAGCTATTTATTCTTATTCTGCTTTCGGATTCCTATTCTGAACACCATTACTTCCCCGCTTCACTTCTTCCTTCTATGTGAATTCCCTATTCCTCTGACCATTAATCAACCCTGAGTCCTCTCTCCTAGATTTCTTCCGAGTGTTCTCTTTGAGAAAAGGAACAAAAAGGAGAAAGAGAAAATCACCCATATGACGCCTGTGGCAAAGAAAGAGGTGGGTTTCTGGCCACTGGGGACTAAGGCTAATCGTAAGCTCTGGACTATGGCTTGAACAGGGCAGGCGCTGTGCTCCCGGCCTCCGCGCTCTGTGCGATCCTCTGTCTAGGTACCTGAGCTTGTTTTTGACGTTCGGCGTCTCAGCTACAATGCCAGCATAGAGCCAGACCTGATTGCCATCTTTGTATTTGGCCACCACTCGACTGCCCACATATAGCTTGTCAGCAGGAGGGTGGTAATCATAGGCAATGTGGTTCCCCGACAGCAGGCTCTTTCCTTTGTTGTCAAATTTCACCTTGTACTTCTTTCCCGGCCCTAAGTAGAAGGGAAAGGCAAACAAAAAACTTTTAAAAGCTATCGGTTTCTGTGTAAATCCTGGCTACTAAGGAAGAGACGAAAGGCAAGTCTGCGGGGAAAAGAAACGATCAACAATGGAGACCTGCAGGCTGCCGCTCAATGCTTCCTCCTCTAGCTTGAACATACCAACCGTCTGGATGGCAATAAGGGTGCCTTTGTGCCAAGTCTTGGTTCTCTTCTTGCCCAGAATGCGCATGCTGACTATCAGGTCACCATCTTTGCTCAGTTCTCCAGACATCTGACTCAGGGCTCCTACAGAGGAAAACAAAGTTGTTATAAAGAGGCAGGACACGAACAGGGGAGAGAATGGAAGAGTGAAGAGGGCAGCAGGGTAATCGGGGAGAACGGGGCAATCGCTGATCCTTGGCCACTTGTGCCGCTCTCTTGGCTATGGGCCAGCAACAGAGGACACGGCTGACTCAACTGTTACGCTAACAGAAAAAGCTGAGTAACTGAAAGTCACATGTAATTCCAGAACACCTCCCTTTAAGCCAATGTTTCCAACTCCTTATTAGCAACAATATTAACTACCATTAAATGAAAGAAGCATTTATAAAACATTTTCTCGTAAGAGCCCCAGTCTACAAAGTTTCCTTCAAACTGCTTTGTAAGTGTTTGAATTAATCGCTTCTCTCTGAACTCCATCCGGAAGTAGACATGAGCTAAAAAGGTTATTTGGAGAAAGCCATCACACATAGGCAAAAGACTTAAGCGGACAACAAGGAAAAATAAAATCACAATCTTATACTGACTTATATAGCCTGCAGCGTTAGAAGAACCCAACGGAAGTAGAGAAGGTTCTCAGATGCCAAAACGAAGCCAGTTATCCATGAAATCTCTGTGGCTTCACCCCCACCTGTACTGAGGTACCTCCTGACTCTACCTTTGTGCAGCTCCTGGGAACTGCTCTTCTTGTTGACAGCATCCATGAACTTCTGGACATCCTGAGCCGACTTCCTTAAGGCAGCCATAGCTTCACGGAGCTGTGAGGAAGGGGATGAGGGGAATAAGTTTTAAAATAGCATAGGTTAGGAATAACTTTAGAATAAAAAATAACTTGTCTTCCAAAAAGTAAAATAGAAATAGTTATGTCTGGATACTTATGGTTACTTTATCAGGCAAACTGCACTTTCTTACAAATCGTTCAGAAATCAGCTTTAGGAAGCCTTCCTTGATCAATGTCACCTGGTGGGTCACTGCCAAATTCTACATTCATATAGCACTTCAGCGCATGCACCTCTAAGTAACCTCTTTCACATTCTTTTACTGTCTGTCAGAGGACTGCAACCCACAAGGCTGTCTACAGGGTGACTGATTATATGTCAATGGCTGAACTGACTGAATGGTCAAGTCAAAAGTGTCTCCCATTTTTATATTCTCTCTCGCCCTTCCCCTGCCCATTCCAATTCACCTTCTGGTCTTTTGGAGTTCTGCTCCCGGCATCACCTATGGATGAGAAAAACTCTAATGAGCATAAGATATTTATAAATAAGAATTTCCAAGAAGTCAAGAACTAAGCCACTTAAAAACATTATCAGGGAAGTACTCTCAGTAACAACTGCAATGAAGATATAGATATATATCTAAAAGTACCAAAAGGGTCCGGAGAGATACAGCAAATAGGTGACAGTGCTTACCTGGGGTTTCCACTATATATTTGAATTTTTATAACAATAATTTACTTATGGATTATCTGAATAATGTGAAAACTGAGATGTGGTCAATAAATTAAGCAAAAATGTTTATTCTTGAGTAGTACTGTACCACAGGACTTCTTGCTATGATAGAATTGTTCCATATCTGCACCATCTAATCTGTTAACATGTGGCTAAGAAAATGAAACGTGGCTAGTGCGACGAAGAAAATAAATTTAAAACTTCATTATTTTTATTTTTTTTAAATTCAGGTATAATGCACGTATCATAAAATTTACCCTTTAAAACTTTAAAACTGTTTGAGTCAGTGGATTTTAGTATATTCACAAGGTTGTACGGCCTATCTAATTCCAGAACATCCTCATTACCCTCAAAAGAAAATCTACTAATGAGCATGGGGTTTCCTTTCTGGGGTGATAAAAACGCCCATTAGCAGTAACTCCCCATTCCATCCACTCCGGCCCCCAGCAACCGTTGATCTATTTTCTGTCTCTATGGATTTGCCTATTCTAGACATTTCATATAAACGGAGTCATACATACATGGTTCATCATACAAACTTGATTTTTGTTGCAGCATTTATAAAACACCCCAGCAGCAGAATACAATTCAAGCACACACGGATCACTCTCCAGGACAGATAATATGCTAGGCCATTAAAAACGACTGAAATCATACAAAGTATGTTTTCTGATCACAATGAAATTAATTCACAACAAAGAAATCTGGGAAAGCCCCAAATACTTTGGAAATCAAACAATGAACAATGTACCTCTAAATAATCCACTGGTCAAAGAAAAATCACAAAGAAAATTAAAAATTGAGTTAAAAGAAAAAGAAAATACAACACATAAAAATTTATGAGATACAGTGAAGCAAGGCTTAAAAGGAATAGCTTTAAATGTTTACAGTAGAAAGGAAGAAAGGTCTAAAATCAATAATCTAAGCCTCCACTTTAAGAAACAATAAAAGGGCAAATCAAATCCAAATAAGTAGAAGGAAAAAATAAAGATCAGAGTAGAAATCAATGAAATAGAAAACAGAAAAACAGAAAAGAAAAATCAATGAACTCATTAAAAAGGTTCCTTGGAAAAGGGCAATAAAATTGATAAGACTTTAGCTAGACTAACCAAGGAGAAAATAAAAGAGATCCAAATACAACCAATATCAGGAATGAAAGAAATGACATCACTACAGAATCTATGGAAATTAAAAAGGATCAAAAGGAATAATATAAACAACTTTATGGCAATAATTTAGACAATTTAGGTGAAATGGACAAATTCCTAGAAAGACACAAATAAAACCAACTTGAGAAGAAAATCTAAATATATATGTGAGGTGAAGAAAATAACTTAGTAATTAAATCCCACAATCAATTCAGTGTGGTACCCTGGACTGGATCCTAGAATAGAAAATGTTCAAAAATCAAATAAAGTATGAAATTTAGCTACAAATAATGTACCAATGTTTGCTTCTTAGTTTTGACCAAAGTAACATAAGATATTAACATTAGAAGAAACTGGTGAAAGATATGCAGGAACTCTGTACTATCTTTGCAATTTTTCTGTAAATCTAAAATTATTCCAAACTAAAATGCTTATTTAAAAAAAAAAAAAAATCTTCCCACAAAGAAAAGTTCAGGTCAAGACAGTCTCACTGCTGAATTTATCAAACATTTAAGAAATAAATAATACCATTCCACACAAACTCAGAGGAGGTGGAACACTTCCTAACTCATCTCATAAGGCCCATTACCCTGATACCAAAACAATAAAACTACAAACCAACAGTCCTCATGAACACAGGTGCACAAATTCTTAACAAAATACTAGCAAATCCAATACGGCGACATATAAAAAGGATTATAAACTAAACAAAGGGAGAGTAGTTTATTCCAGGAATGCAAGGTTGGTTTAACATTCAAAAAATATACCCTATTAACAGGATAAAGGACAAAAGCCATATGATCATCTGAGGATGACAGAGAAAAAGTAGCTGACAAAATCTAAAATCCTATCCAGCTATGATAAAAATATTCAGCAAACTAGGAATAGAAGCAACTTCCCTCAGCCTGATAAAGGACATCTACAAAAACTCTACAGCGCTATCATAATGCTTAAAGACCAAATGTTTTTCTCCTAAGATCAGAAACAAGGGAAGGATGTCTACTCTCAAAATCCTTATTCGACATTGTACTGGAGGTTCTAGAGAGTACAACAGGAAATAAAAGGAATCCCAATTGGAAATGAAGTAAAATTGACTTTATTTGCAGATGACATGATCAGGTATATAGAAAATCCTAAAGGATCCACGAAAAGCTTCTAGAAGTAATAAGTGAACTTAAATAAGATCACAGGCTACAAGATTAACACAAAAACAACTTTATTTTTATAATTTTTATATCCTATCAACTAACGATCCTAAAATGAAATTAAAAAAATTAAGAAATCCCATTCACACTAGAATTAAAAAGAATACCATGGAGAGATGTATGATGTTCATGAATCAGAAGACCCAATATGAGTTAAAAAGGCGATACTCTCCAAATTAATCTTTAGATTCAATACGGTTCCTATTAAAATCCTAGCAGGTTAAGAAAACATTTTTGGTAGAAACTGACAAGCTGTTCATAAAATTTGGAATATATACGAAATACAAAACACTTCGGAGACCTTTTGCTAACAAAGTGATTTTAATACTTACCATAAAGCTACAGTAATTAAAATAGTGTGGTGCTGGTATATAGACAGGCATTTAGATAAATGTGATGAAACAGACCCTCACATACATGGCCAGTACCAAAAGAACAGTCTTTTCAACAAATGGTGGTAGAACAACTGAACAGCCATAAGCACAAGAAACAAAAAACCACCCTCGATCCAACCTTAAAGATTTTTATTCTTCAAAAGACACTGTTAAGGAAATGAAAAGACTGGGAGAAAATACTTGTAAAATATATCGGACAAATAAATTGTACCTAAAGTAGAATATGTCTTCTGAGTCAATAATAAAGAGATGATCCAATTTTTTTAAAAAGGCAAACGATTTGAATAGGTATGTGCCCAAAGAACATACATAAATAACATATGAGTATGTGAAAAGATGCTCAATGTCTCTGGGGAAATTTAAACTATGATCACAATGTGACAACACTACACACTCAAGAGAACGGCTAAAATAGAAGACTGACAATACCAAGCAATGACAAGGTTGTAGAGAAACCGGAACTCCCACACTTTGCTAGTGGGAATGTAAAATGGTACAGCCACTTTGGAAAACAGCATGACAGTTTCTTAAAAAGTCAAACATACGCTGACCATAAGATCTAGCAATTCCACTCTGGGTAGAATATCCAAGACACGTGAAACATAAGGTCCACGAGAAGACGTACAAATTCCATAGCAGCATTACTCATAACAGCCTCAAACCGTAAATAACCTAAATGTTTATTGTTTGAGGAATGTGTAAGAATATGTGGAACAGCCATATAACAGAATATTACATGTAATAATACATGTAATAATATAGATGAACCTCACACATGTAATAATACAGATGAACCTCAAAAACACTGTTAAATGACAGAAACGAGACACAAAAGAAGACATACTGTGATTCTATTTATACGACATTTCTAGAAAAGGCGAAACTTTACAGAAAGAAAGCAGATCAGTGATTGCTCAGGGTGACAACAAAGATTGAGCAAACAGGCATGAGGCAACATTTTGGGGTGATGCAATTATTCTAAAACTGGGTTGTGGTGACTGCACTACTGTATAAATTTACTAAAACTCAAATTGTACACTTACAGTGGGTAAATTTTATAGCATGTAAATTATACCTTAAAAAAACTGTTTAAAAATAGAAAAAAAACAAACAATCTGCTGTTTTGAGATGTGTACATAGGTGGTAATGCCACCTATAAAGAAAGAGAATTCAGAGGTCACACAGAATGGTGAAATGAGGGTGAGTCAATCAGGAAGTAGCACGCAGGGGACTTCTTGTAAGGTACTAACAACGCTCTATTTTTTCCTGTATCGGACAAGTTCAAAGGTTTGAAATATGATTTAGTGACATCGGCTTATCCTCTCTTCTACCGCCTATCTGCTCATCTCCCAGCATTTCAATTTCAGTCCTGAGACTTTCCTATCCATAGCTTCATCTCTTACCTGAATCAATACTGAGGACATCATCGTCTTCATCAGGAATCTCAATTATTTCTGTAGGCCGGGAAGCTTCATCCTCGGAGCTACTGTCCCGGTACTGTAGTCCCAGTTTGGAGTAAAAGTCCTTCACCAAAGACTCACAATTAGTCACTGCCCTAATATTGGAACACACGTAGAAAAGGTCAAAGCCAGCAGAAGTAGGAGCCATTAGAGTTTATACATAAGTATACGCTGACCTCAATTTAAACAGCCATATTGAAAAGTATGTTTAGAATTCGGAATGCTTTTCCCATACGAAAACGTTTAAACAGTGGTTTCCACACTAGTTCCTCAAAAATCCACAATAAGCCCAAAGTAGGGTCCTTTCAATCATACCTCATTATTTATCTTGTTATTTGAAAAAGAGTTTTAAGTGACAACTAGGGCACTTCTGGGAGTCTAGGAGTAGATACAGAACTCTAGGAACTTATTAATGCTCCACAGTTACCTAAGACAGCAACTCTTTACAGATCTTACTAAGAAAACAAACCACCTGTTCTAAAGTAGTGTGCACAAGGAAGAAGTGGAAGGGACTCAAGACATGGACTCTAACCTTTGAGGAAGACTAAGGTTCTGCACATCTGTGCCTTACAAAGTGCTTGGCACAGTGTCACGAACAATTATATTTTAAACTGTCTGTCAATGGAGAGATTTCCTATCTCCCATGCAGTCCTCACCTGGACGCATCATCAAAGAGCTGGTCAACATGGGCCACTTCCGATTCCTTCTGTATTACCCACGTCTCCAACTCTGCTAACTGCTTCTTGCGTTGCTGTACACAGTCCATCTTTTCCAGTTCTTCATCGATGAACTGCCGAAGTTCCTCCATCGAGATACCCAGCTCCTCAACCACTGCTTGCTGCAGCTCTGCAATCTCTTCGGACTCCACTGCAGCTGTCGCTGCATCCAAACCAAGGCAGCCGGGGAGGGAGGACATGCTGTTGTCCTCTACATGGAACAAAAACTAAAATTATCTCTGGAGTCATTACAACCGCAATAGAGAATTTCAGTCCCATAATAAAACTCCTTCCTACTCCTTACTTGTTATTCAAATACATTAGGTTTGATTTTATGGTTTGTCTCTCCATGCTCCAGTATGATGCTGAGATTTTGTAGAGTTCTCATCTTATGCTACAGACTATAGGCCTGAATAAGATTTAAAAGTTTGAGAGGGCATATATTACGCAATAGGAAAGCTACCAGGAGATAATGTTTTAGGAAACTGAAGAGAACCAATTTACTGAGCAAGATACAGGCATACTTCGGAGAAATTGTGGGCTGGGGTTCCAGACCACCTTAGTGAAGCGACTATTGCAAAAAAGAAGGGGCTTTGCTGGTAGAGGGGCTTTGCCTTCAGTTTGTAAAAAATGTGACACCTATTAAGTGCAATAAAGCAAACTGCAATAAAAAGAGGAACGCCTGTATTTCTGTGACTTGTATTCCTTAATTGACTAATGAGATAAATCTGTTTGCTTGCTATTGATCAAATATCTCCACCTGGAGGAGAGCGGTTGGTCTATAACTCATTTTTTTAATTACTTGTTCTCCTTACGTCACTTCGCTTCCATGTGGAAATTGACTTTTTAAAAGTCTATAATGCTTTAAAAACACAAAAGCCTGCAGCAAAGAGATTTCCCCAAGGTAAAGGGAAATAAAGCAACCTGAGAATAAAACGCGGCTACCTAAAACCTAAAGAGCCTGCACATTGCTGCTCTTTGGCTCAAACGGTTAAAGCAAAACTGATGTCAGAATGCCATGCGCCCCCAATGTCAGTTCTCACCGCCTCCATTTTCCCTCTGCCCACACACCGCCCCACCCCCGTGCTACCCATTTTAGGGGTGCGTCCCATCCCCGGGCAAACCCAGCTCAACCCCGCCCCCGCTCGTCTCACCGGGAAAACTTCCTTCCCACCCTCGTCCGACCTCTTCCCACGAACAAAACATTCCAGACAAGCCTTTGGTCTCCAAATACCTCAATTAATTCCCCCACACCTCCCTGCTTCCAGCTACAATAGCTCTCTTTCGCCACCCGGACCCCAGACTCACGACTGAGGGGTGGGCCTCTGTGGGCGAGAACGAAAGGGAAAAGGGAGCGGGGGAGGGGAAGAAACGTGAGGGAGGGAAGGGGAAGCGAAAGAGACGCCCGGAAGCAAACCTCAGGTGCCGTTCCGGTCCCCCACGACGGTGGCCTGACGGGGTCAAACCCAAAGCCGCAGGGCGCCCCTCCGAGGCCAGGCAAACTCAGGCGAGTGCGCATGCGTCAGAACAGAGCCTTCCAGGGCACACGTGAGAAGCGGTTGGCAAGGTGAAGTGGGCGTGGCCTCCTGGAAGATATTACAGAAGTTCCGCCTCTTCCATCACCCCAACTAGTGGCCGCAGTACTGAACTTATTATGTAAAGGCTCAGTCGGACGACACCCTTAGGTTTAGATTTTTTTCCTCACTTCTACCTGATTTTGTTTTATTACGTAAGTCGTACAAATTGTAACGACTCGCGGAATAGCAAGACGTAATAGGAAAAACATGATACTTGCTCCTCTCCCATCGCTTACTACCCTTGCTCCTTTGAGGTAAAACAGCTTAATTTTCTAGGCTTGTACGTCCAAAGTCATCCCTGTGGGGTTTTTTTTTTGGGGGGGGGATGTTTACATTTAACATGTGGACATCTCTTGAAGTCAATAAAAGATATAAAATTTATCTTTTTGACAGTTATATAATACTTCATAGTGTGGCTAAACCATTTTTAGAAATTTAGTTTATTTTCAGTTTTTTTGCTGCTCCAAATAATGCAACCATAAAACATGAACATACTTTTGTAAAAGAAATATTTCTGTAGAAGAAATTCCCACAAATGGAATCTGAGTAAAAATATATATGTACTCTTTTTTTTTTTTTTCATTTTAATAGAATCTGCTGTCGAGTTACTTTTTAAAAAGATTGAAACAATTTTTCTTCCCACTAGTAAATCTCTGAAAGTATCTGTTTCCCCATACCCTCCTTAGGACTAACCATTAACCATAATTTTGAAGAATTTGATACATGTTAAAATAGTGTCTGTTATCAGGGTAGACTAGCTTATGTTGTGGAAACAACTCCAAAAGCTTAAAACAAAAAAACCTTGTATTTCTTGCTCACATTGCATAATCACCTCTAGAAAGTTGGCAGTGGAGCTCTGCTTATGATAGCTCCTCAGGAACCCAGGCTGATGAGTAGTCATGCCAGAAGGAGAGAAAGCTAGGTCTCACATTGACAAATGAAGTGACTCAGGACACTTTCAGTTAGAACTCATTGGCTTGAATGACTCATAAGGCCCTACCCAACCAGAAGAGGGCCAGGAAGAACAGTCATGTCTCATCGCTCTGGAAGGAGGGAGAACCAGGTGTATCTGATGAAGCAGCACTGTTGACTGCCATGGTATTTCATTGATGTTTTAATTTCTTCAGTTATCTTTTACACTAACTATGCCTAACTTCATTTAAAAAGTATAAACCATAACCTGCTATGTAAGACTGGAAACAGGCGGAGCAGCCAGGATCATCCAAGTCTTTGAAATCCTCTCCTGCTGACCACGCTTTCACCTGTGCTCATTTCACCTGCTCGCCAGTTTCCTCTTACCCCTTTCAGTGCCTGTTTCCAATTGTTAAGACACCGAGAATTGAGGTACAGAGGAGTGAAGCGCTCCTCTAGATATTTGAAATTCAGCATGTTCCAAACTCAAGACATCATGCTATTATCTTCTGACCCGAGCTAGAAATTTTAGTCATAATATGCCCCATAAAACACATACAGACGATATTTATTGACTGTTTACTGCATAACAGGCACTGTGCTAAGCACTTGACGGTTATTATTTTGTCTAATTCTCATACTTTTATGAGGTGAGAACTATTATTATTGTCTCTTATTGGATGAGAAAACTGAGGTGCAGAATTAAATTTCCCAAAGCTACGGAGCTAAAAAGTATCAGAGCCAGATAGTTTAGCCCTCTAGCTTGTGGTCTTAAACCATTATTCAAAACAGCTTGCTTATCTTAGTTTGGAAATGTTTATTATATATTTTCCCTCCTTTTCCTACTCTGTTCTCTTTTTCTAGCTCTTTCTCTTGCCAGAAAATTGCCTCCTAATTGGTAGCAGAATTAACCCGTCTCCGCTTCATTTCCTTAGTCCTTTCCGCTTGTGTGTTACCTGTGTGTGTCTGTCTCAGCCAGTTTGTGACTGACCGAAAGCTGAGGTCCTGTCTTAATCTTTGTTTCCCCTAGCCCCCGACATATTCCCTGTGCGTGTGGTGCTCTGTACTGTGTGACGAATGAAGGGAAATCTTCGTTCTGCCCTGATTATGTTTTTATTAGATTCTTTCAGCTTTCTGATGTGCGTGTGGGTGGTTTGGGGGCAGAAATGAGGAATGGGGAATGTTGAAGAGAAACAGGAGCTATTTGGGGCATCATATTCCAGTCTGATTTTTTCTTCGCCCTCATAAAGCTGAAGCGATGAGATGTAGAGATCAGCGTGTACGGCACATGGTATATGACGTGCTATTATTTGTGTAAATAATGGCAACGACACACATTATTTCTTACATATACCTAAAATATCACCGGAAAGAGACATAAGAAATGACCCCTGGTTGTCTCTGAAGAGGACGAATGGAAAGGTGGGGGACAAGAGCAGGACGACAGTGGGAGTCAGGGTTCTCACAGGACACCATTTTTTACCTTTTAAATACTGAAACATGAAAACAGGTGGGTTATTCACACATATTACACTAAAAAGGAAAAGAAAAGGAAAATGTCTGGAAAGATACATTTATATTAAAAAACAAACTATCTTAACAGCAGTTACCTCTGGAAGAAAGGATTGGGAAGCAAGGCCGTGTCTAGAAATTTTTTGCATTTGTACGCTTAGGTAATGTTTGAAAGAAATTTTTTTACAATGTGCATTTATTACTTTTATGAAATGTTGACTCAAAAAACAAATATAGAATCCAATGCACGACCACACACGCTTTGTAGATTAACACTGGAAAGGGTCTGGCCCAGTAAAACTTCTCTGCAGACTGCTGGGATCTGGCTGACAGTGTAAGGTGGGTGAAAGGAATGTTTAAGGCATCAGATTGAGATAATGTGGGCCATAAAACCAGACAGACCCAAGGTCTGTGGGCTGCGACTCCCTGAATCTTCAAGGACTATCTTGCCCCTGGGGCTGGAGATGCTCTGTTGTCCAATGGCTAAGTTGCCTTGTCTCCTGAGTAGCATTCTCATTGGCCCTGTGCGAGTTTGCCTTGGGCCGTTCCTCTTTCTCTGCATCCAAAGAGGATCTACTTCTATTGACCTTCACATTGTTTGCCTTAGGTAGGTTACTGGAGGAAGTGGGATACCAGTCAAACCTGTGACCCTCTGGTGACTGCATACGGATGCGCTCATTAATCACGTGTTCATGTTGCATTTTATTTTAAGAGGTGGGGAAAACATTAACTTCTGAGTTCCTGGAGGGAACGTACTGTGGCCCTCCATGTGTCGACATCAGTATTGATCTGCTTTCATTTTACCCTGACCTGTACCTGCCATGAATTTCTTTTCATCAAATCAGGGTACAGATCGTCCTCTCTCTCTCTCTCTCTCTTTCTCTCTCTCTCTCCTCGCCCCCATCCTCCCTCCCCAAGTTTAACCAATACAGCACACGCTGTTCTGGTGGAGGCAAAGTATAGTGTTTTCATTGGAAGCCTATGGTTCCCCTACCTACATTTTCAAATAATCCTGGGAACTTACTCAGGCCAATCCTGCTTCCAGGAGTCAGGATCAGAGACAATTATCAAGCCTCTGTTAACAGTGCGTGGCTAGAGTTATGTCCCTATACCATTTGATATTGCTGCTAAAGCCCGGTCCAGCATGGTCTCTTGTAGATATAGTGTGCTGGCTGGAAAATTACTGCTTGGCCATCGCCCATGGGAACAGAGGCTATCGCCCATGGGAATGTAACATTCTAACAATAAGCTTTCTGCTTCTGTACCCCTGCTTGCACAACAGACCTGTGGGTTGACAGGTAGTAAATAAGAGAAAAATAGACCTTTGTGTTTAAGACAGAATGAGGAATGGGATTTAGGGCTTAAAAACCCTGTACCTCTACATTTCGGGGCTGCTTAATTTGGGGTCTGTGTAGCCCTGGCAGACCCAGCTGGCTGAATAAAGAGCATGTTTCCTATAACTCACTGATTTCTGGTGGTCTGTGTGTCTTTCGGGGGCTGGCGGCTACAACAATAGGTCTCTGAAGTGACTTACATGCTGGTCCATGTCTCTGCATAAGTCCACGTGATGCCTCACACTTAGATTCCAAGGTTATGGCTCTCTTAGTTCACATGCCAGGTCACTGTTGTCTAGAATACTTGGCTAGCATGACTGAACTTGAGAGCTTTAATTTCTCTCACTTACTGTGCCAGAACCAGTCCTCTTAAGTCAAACCCGTGATGAGCCTTGGTTGGTGGTCTAGATGCTCCTTTTCCTTCTAATGAATTCTCTTAGGAACTTTCCTGCCCTTTGGCCATAGTCTACCGTATCATATTTCCCTAGCTGCAGACTTTGGAGAGTAGGGATTATGATTTTCTTCTCTTTTCTCTTAAAAGGTCCCTCGGATGATGATGATAACTGTGGTCGTCGTCGTCATCATCATCATCAATCATCATCATCATGTATTGTACATTAGTTTCCTGTGACTGCCATAACAAATTATCACAAACTAGGGGGCGATAAAAAACCCAGAAATTTATTTTCTCACAGTTCTGGAGGCTAGAAGTCCAGACTGAGTTGTTGGCAAGGCTGCACGCCCTCCAGAGGTGCTGGGGAGACTCCTTCCTTGACTCTTCCAGCTGCCGATGCTTTCGGGTAAGAGTTCTTTAGCATCTGGTTGTATGACTCCAATCTCTGCCTCCATCTTCACATGGCCTCTTCCTCTGTTCTCCCTGTGTCTTCGCCTCTTCTGTCTTTTCTAAAGATACTGGTCATTGGATTTAAGGTTCACCTGGATAATCCAGGATGAGTTTATCTCGAGATCCTTAACTTACTTATCTCTGCAAAGACCTTTTTTCCAAATAAGCTCACGTTTGTAGGTTTCAGGAGGGGTGAGGACATGGACATACCTTTTTGAGGGCCTATTTTCAA